CAAAAGGCTAGTAAGTTCCCAGAGCCTATGGAAATGTGTCTTGAGAAACCAAATTATTACCTATCAGTATTACCCCTGAATGTAAATAGCCTAAACTCATTAATCAAACATAATAGATGATTGGAGCAAAAAAAAAAATCTATCTGTTATCTAGAGGACACACATCTCATGAGCAAAGATATGTGGAAACTGAAAGTGAAAGGATGAAAAAAGATATTCCAGGCTAATGGAAAAGAAAAAAATGAGCTAGCATAGCCATTCTTATATCAAATAATACAGACTTTAATGTGGAAAATACTAAAAGCAATGAAGGACATCTCATAATGATCAAAGGATCCATTCAGCAAGAAGAGATCACCTTACCAGTTCCTTATGATGTATTCTTATTTATTCCTAATGTTACTTGGCTTTTCTCTCTTATTTGCTAGTCTGGCTAAAGGTCCATTTTGCTCATCTTCTAAACAATAAGTCTTTTGTTGCAATTTGTAGTTTTTAAGTTTCAATTCCACTTATTTTTGCTGTGATTTTTATCATTTCTTGCTTCTTATTAATTTTTCCTTTTTTTAATAGATCTTTGAGTTGCATTATTAGATCATTTAGTTGACATATTTCAATTGTTTGTAAGTACCTGATATTATAAATGTCCCTTTCAATACTGTTTTTGCTACATATCATGGATTTTGATAGTTTTATTTTTATTTCTTCAAAATAGTTTTTTTCTTATTAATTTCTTCAGTGACACATAGGTTATACAGTAGCATTATTTTTTTTAAGATTTTTCATTTTCATTTCCTTAGTGACACAGTAGTTACTCAGTAGCATATTGTTTAACTTCATGTTGTTATAAATTTTCTATTTTTCTTACTGTTGTTGATTTTGTTTTATGGCTTTTCATTTAAGTGGATGTATAGTAACTGTGTAAAAGAGCATATCCAGATATTAAGATACAATACAGGATGCATCTCTGCACCAAATCAAGGATGAACTCCCAATGAAACAGTTAAATATACCTTAACAATAGGATGCTGGAGTCTGCCAGTGTCCATATCTACAATGCCAGGATACACTTAAAGAGAAGAATCATAGACTTACGACTGTTTATGAAGGACTATACTATTGCAATAATACAGCAGAAATCAGTGGGGGAAGAGGATTTAGACAGAGGAGAGGGGAAATCCCAGATCCAATGGAATTGTTTCATGAAATAATAAAATAAAATAAAAATAAATGAAAACAAATAAAATAAAAAACATCACGCTTAAACAAAGAGAGAGACTGTAAGTAATAGTATTCTGTTTCTTCCACATGCTAGCCCAACACCTACGTGTAATGCTGCTAATGTGATGGGTCACCATTAATTTCATGGTTATGTCCTCTTTGTTTTTGCTTCTGACTTCCTTTCTTTGAAAGGCTTTTCCTTGTTTTTTCACTCATGCTCTCTTTATTGACTTCTTATGTTCATGGTCAACTACTCCTTAAGTTAAAATATTACCAAAAGCAGAGTGTGAAATATAGCTCTCTAAGCTTGAGACCAACTTTTTCCAGATTAAAGATTCTCCTTTCTAAATTTAAAGTCAAATTCCTTAAGGTAAGGGAGTACTTCCTTCTGGTATCCACACTGTTACTTCTCATGCATTTGTCCAGGGCTAGATCAGGTTTCTGTCCTGAACACTATCCACTAACTACTTTTTCAGATCTTATCAATTAATGATCTCCTATACACAAGCACAAAAAGCAAAGCTCTCATTTTAATTGACCAAAAGCACCACAAAAGATTCCTGTTAAACATATTTTTCTAGTTCAAACATTGGATAACATGTTGTGACCCCCAATCTACCTAATGCACGTGTGTATAGCTTTAATGAAACACAGACAAGTCTCACATCCTCTATGGCTGTCTTCACACTACAGAGGGAGAGCTAAATAGCTGAGACAGACTGTATGGACTTTGCTGCTCAAGATTCTTACAGAAAATTATGATGTGATCTTTCTAGTTTTTACTTGTTGAATATGGTGGCTAGTGATGCATCAAGCCTGTGTTTACAGAATTGAGTAAAACTGTGTTTTTGCAAAAATTACTAAACAAAAAGTATGGAAGGAGAAGGATGGAGGGGGAAAGAAAGGAAGGAAGGGATATCTGATTGTCTTCTTGGAATTGTACCTATGAAATACATGAAATATGTGTATATTAATAAAAGTTTTTAAAAGGTTTACTTGAACAAAAAAATTTACATTTCTAATTTTAGCACTTCATCAAATTATTTTATATTTTTACTTATCTGAATAGAGGACACAGAGAAAAGAGAGGAAACAGAGAGGAGAGACATACAGAAACATCCTTCGTATCTTTCACTCAAGGCTAGGCCTGTCTGAAGTCAGCAACCTGTAACTCATTCCATATTTTTCACGTAAGTGGCAGGAAGCCAAGTACTTGAGCCATCACCTGCTGCATCCCAGGGTGCATTGGTCTTCCTAAATACTTCTTCCCTATCTGCAATATTTTTTCCCTAGTGAACTGTGTTGGCATATACACAGCGATAAGCATGACCACTGTGAAGGAATTATTTTATTTACAATAATTTAAAATATTTATAAAGCAAAGTGTCAATTAGGCTTACAGACTTAAAAAGAAGTATGAGGCCTAGTGCAATGGCTCAATGGCTAAGTTATGGTCTTGTAGGGGCTGCCATCCCATGTAGGTGCCTGATCATGTCCTGGCTGCCCCACTTCCCATCCAGCTCCGTGCTCGTGGTCTGGGAAAGCAGTGGGGCATGGCCCAAGGCTTTGAGACTCTGCATGTGAGAAACCTGGAACAAGCTTCTGACTCCTGGTTTCAGACTGGCTCAGCTAGGCTGTTGTGGAGTGGATCAGTGGATTGGGGGGGGCGTGCGGTTTTCTCTGTCTCTCTCTCTTTCCTCTCTCTGCCTTTCCAATAAAAATTCCACATATATTTATGTGCATGCATATATATGTATATATATATGTAATTATATTTAATACATATTCCTTCCTACTGTCAAAAATAAAATTTTAAGAAATGATTACAATTAGAATGAAAACCTTTTCCTGCATCATCTCATTTAATATTTAAAATAACATGATACAAGTACTTTTTTATGATGTGTTCATTTTTATTGGAAAGGCAGATACAGAGAGAGGAAGAAGAGAAATAGAGGAAGGTCTTCTGTCTGCTAGTTCGCTCTTCAACTGGTTGCAATGGCCAGGGCTGAGCCAATTCAAAGCCAGGAGCCAGGAGCCAGGAGCGTCTTACAGGTCTTCCACACAGGTGCAGGGTCCCAAGGCTTTGGGCTGTCTTCTACCACTTTCCCAGCCCATAAGCAGAGAGATAGATGAAAGGTAGAGCAACCAGGACATGAACTGGCACCTGTATCTTATCCAAGAAACTTCAAAGTAAAGGTGATCTTTGAGAGGAGAGTTGAAAGAGTATTTCAAGTTACTTGTGCAACATTTCACTTAAAAAACTGAAGCAGAAAAATTTTTTCCCACAATTTTAGGCTGCACTAAGGAATTGAGAATCACTGTATCAGAATTTACATTTATATCAATGTCTTAAGAAGCTAAAAGTAATAACAGCAAAAATGTAACAACAAAGTTTCATATTTTGGTTTATGAAAACTGGAGGAGTTTCAAATGAAACCTCAAAAGTCTAAATCTATTTGTAGTCTTTTATCATCATCCTCTATTATTGATAAAGGAATATATACCTTCTACCCTACTGGTATACTGCTGTTATTCTCTTCAAATAATCAATATAGTACCTATTCATAATATCTGAGAAGAAACTAACATGAGATGAAATTATCTAGGTCAGCAGACAGGGGACAAGTCTATATAGTTACACTGCAAGTCAGGATCTAATTTTTTCTAAAGAACACCATGAAATGAAAGAATAATAAGTAAATTATTACTTTAAACTGCAATAAAATTTAAGTTTTTAGAGATTTCTAAAGTTGCATACAACATTATAATTTAAATAATTTTGAAGCCTATAGTGTGATTGAGCAATATAGAGCAAATATGACAAAGAAAACAGAAGTGGGCAGCTTCAAAAATAGGAAAACAAAAAAAGAAAAGCCTTCAGAAATAAGAATTTTAAAACTGAAAACGTTAATGTACACTAACGATTTTAAAATAGTTTTAAAATATATTTATTGGGGCCCGACATGGTAACTTAGTAGTGGCTAAAGTCTTTGCCTTGGCACGCACCAGGATCCCATATGGGCATTAGTTCTAATCCTGGCTGCCCTGCTTCCCATCCAGCTCTCTGCCTATGGCGTGGGAAAGCAGCCAAGGACGGGACAAAGCCTTGGGACCCTGCACTCTGTCTCTCCTCTTCTTTGTATACCTGATTTTCCAAAAAAAAAAAAAAAAAAAGTCTTTAAAAAAATACAATTATTAATTGTATCTACGTTAGTACTTGAAACTATTCTCACCGCAAGGAGCTAACACTGTTAAGGTAGCAAATGACTCCATGTCTTGAAACAAGGATAAAAACAAAATCAATTAGAACATATTGTTAACAAAAAGAAGAGATGTTATTCAAGATGTCAACCCTGGTGCTAAGAAGGATAAAGAAACCAACACCGGCAGATCCCCTAGAGGCCACACAGTGAGAATCTGATCATCATCATTGTCACCACTACACCCAAGCACATAAAACCGGCCAAGTCCCAAACAGGTGTACAGCCATCCACACATCCTGGGTGCTAAGACAGGTGAGAGGTTCTAACAAAGTACAGAAAATATATCCCAATCATCTACCCAATTTTCATGAGTCCTAATATTTAGCTTATGGTTAACAATGAAGGCTATTAGCAGATTTTTTCCCTTCTTCATTTAAATTAATAACATTTTGTAAACTGGGAATGACAACAACTTCACTAAAAGAAGTAAAAATCTCAAGATCCTTCTCACAGCAAGTTCTACATAGGGACCCTGTAGCTGTCAGTTAGTGGGAGATAGATGGTGAAGAAACTTACCCTCCTTCACTCTCGGCTTCCTCCGAACTGTTACTTGTTGCTGAACTTTGAACTGTGGTGAGCTTTCTTTTTCTAGCTCTGTGCTGAGGACTTATCTTATGAGTAGCTAGCTTCCCTCCAAGTTCATCTTGTATATATTCTTCCAGCTTTGGGATAGTTTCTTTAAGAAATAGGATTTCCTTCTTCAGTTCGTCCATGGTTGTCACTAATTCATTTAACTTATCCAGGATCTGAAGCTGCCTTCTTTGAGAGATTGCCATTGTTCCATAATCATTATACATTTCATCTTGCAAAGGGACTGAATCAAATGTATTCCCCAGAGAAAGGAATTTAGGCAAAGTCATTGCTGTCCTTGACTTTCGGACCTTGTGGTAACACAAAAGCAGCAAGCTGATGCCAGCAGTTCCTACCATGATGCCAAATATCAGTTCTTTGTTTGTAGAATGAGGCATTTCCTGGGTTTTGCTTCTAAAATTGAAAATAAAAACAAACATCAATGCTTTTTCAGTCAACAAAAGTCATTTCCTACATCGTACAAATAAAACCCAGTTGATGAATCAAAATCTAGAGTATATTATGAATAATTACCTACAAAATCTTGAGTATATTACGAATAATTCACTTTAAGGATAATAGTTTAGTGTTAAGTAGCAACTTCAACTCAGACAATCTAAAATTAATCCTTCACTGTGTGAAGACAAAAGAATTCTCGTAAGTTTCTGAGAAAACTTTTAAGAACTCAAGCTCTGAACATCTGCAAACTTATTTTTATAAAAATAATATGCTGCTTTCAGTGTTTTAACTAATTTTTAAGGAAGGCTCAGAAGAAGGTTTTCTTTAGTAGCTAGTTCACTTAATACTTTAATTTAGAATGATTAACAAATAGTTTTTAAAGCCCAAGGCTCTGGTAAAACTTTGCTAAGTGTACATTCCTCCCCTGCCCCCATTCCTGCTATATTCAACATGGAAAGCATCAACAAAGCTACAAGCACACGTTTCCTCTTCTTTCTTCCTCTAACCCAGAATTCTTCTCTTTATATTTTCACTTATATTTGAGATCATTGATTTTAGTTTAAATTTTTCCTTTATTTAAATAATAATTTGTCTGACTCCTTTGTCTTTCTGACCTTTTACCTTTGCACACTCAAGAGCCAAGTTATGGCCCACCTCATCTCACACAAACTCAGCTACTTTATTCGAATATTATGCATCATAATCTTTCTTTGGAAAACTTTACCTTCACTATCTTTATTGACTATCCCTGTTCTTAATGTCAGAAGACCATGAAAAGAAACCATTTACATAAATCTCCCTTTCTGAGATTTTAAGGTAACAATAAGTATATTAGTACTATGATGAACTTTTATGATTATAGTAAAATATATTGATGATTTCCATATGCATTGAAGTCCTAAGATTTCTTTTCCCTTCAATTTTGTCTATTTGTAAGCATCTTCATTATTTTTTGTCAGAAATATGGAAGAAACCACAAATAGTACTAAGTTGTTCAGTATAGAAAGTTAGTGATTTTTTTTCCTAACATTCTCTCAAAGAGCAGATTATTAGTACAATGACCCTGAGAAAAGGGAAATACATACATTCTATGTTATCCCTTGCTTTCCAATTGGAAATAATTTCTGGACTGTGGCTCTGGTACCAGGTGGAGAGTGAAGTGTTAAGAGAGGGAAGTATCAAACATCTTGGTAGCCTTACAAGGTGGAACAGCAGGGGTCAGAGTTCAGAGCTACTGAAACACCCAGAATTTGTGTATCAGACCACTGAAGCTGAGAGAGGCAGCTACAAAAAGGATTCCAGAAGCATCAGAGTATCAGGGGGCACATGCCTGGGTGCAGCCCCATCAGAGAAGGTAAAGAAAAAAGAATAAAAATTCTTAGGTAGCTACAAGTCAAACTATTCCTCAATATACAGAAACAAAACATTAAACTGTCCCACAAGTAATTTAACTGCTGTGAAGATGAAAGTCTAAAAGTCTTCAATAGAACAAAAACTAGGACACAAGAACATAAAATCAAAATCGTTACCTTCCAATAAAAAATTACTAAACAGGTAAAGCAGGAAAAATGACAGAACTCATATAATTGACAGGCAATGATGTTAATTATAACATGCCAATTGTTTATTATAAGTAATGTGTTAAAGGAAAGCATAAATATGAAGAAGCGAGAAAAAACAGGTACTAGGTAGGACCAAAAGGAGCTTCTGAAGATGAAAAATGAACTATAAAACTTGCACTACATGGGTTCAAAACTCACTGTAGGACTGGACTACTGCTACACATACTGGCAAACCAGGGCAGGGGGCAGGCCTGGTGGGGGTTATTGTGGGTCGCTCCAACTAGGCTGCAGCTCCCACTGGTTTATGTGAGGGCCAAGTATGTACTGGGCAGAACCAGGCTGGACTGCAACACCCATTGGTTCCAGTGGGAGTCGGGGCTGAAAACAGAACCAACCCAGCAGTTGCAACCACCAGCTGATTGGGGCAATGGACTGTGCTGGGCCCTGTACTTGCTAGTACATACAAGAATCTGGTCTGGGAACACCTCAGACAAAGTTTCTTTGGAGATCTCCCCAATTGAACCGCCAGACTCAGAACCCTAATCAAGAAAAGACAGAAGACAGAACAGGTCAATCAACCACCTCAGCTATATGTTGGCAATGAAAATACTGGGCAAACGGAGACTCTAAGATGGACTATGTCAATCAGTGGATTTTTCAATGACCTTATCGTGCTTGGAGTGGCGAGATTGGCAGCAATTTATAACTAGTGAACTATCAAAACCACTTGAGCAAGTATCTCAGAGCATGCTCCACATCCGGGACCTGGGATGGGTGGGAAACTGGGTAGGGCTTCTCCCTCAATATCCCCCTTTACCTCAGATACATGAAGGAAACAATATGGAAATAATAGTCTTACTCACTTTCCTGTAGCCCTTGAACCTTTTTACCCTAATTACCCTTTTTACCCTAATTAACTATGTAAAGATTGTCAAAAACATAATAAAAAAAACCTCACTGTAGAACCATAATAACAAATCATTGAACTTGTAGACAGAAATATAAAGCATCCAGGATAAAGCACACCTAAAAACTAAAGCAAGCAAACTATGGGCAAAGCAAGCAATCATTCATATATATATGGCTCATAAATTCCAAGGTTGAACAAAGCTTTAAACCCAGTATCTGAGGCCAACATAATCCAGGCAAAAAAAAAAAAAAAAATCAAACAAAAACACAGCATTATTAGATTGACTAAAACTGGTGATAAAAAAAAAATTTAAGGCAGCCACATTGAGTGCAAAAGGGGGAAAAAAACATAATAGCAGATATTGCCTTGGAAACTATTGAAGCAAGAAAGCAATGGAGAACTACTTTTAAACCTGCTAATTCCTATTAAATTCCTGTGTTCAGTGAAATAACTTTCAAAATTAAAGACAAAATAAGGCTTTTTTTTTTAAGACAAAGAAGCTGAAAAAAATCATTACCAATAGATAGGTATTATAACATACTAACACAAGTTCTTCATCAGAAGAAAAAATGATAAATTACACACACACAAAATTACAGTAGCAAATATGTGGGAGCATATAAAAGCCATTCTTCATACTTAAAAAATTCATTATAAAATATGTATGTATCAAAGCAAAGAATACAACAATGTGTCATAGGGCATATAACTTACGTAGACACAAAATGTGGCATGCCAATATCCCACAAGATGGAAGGCACAAATGGTATTACACACATCGTTTGAAGTGGCTTAGATTACAATGAAGTAGTATTTAAAAAAATTCAGTATGATAAAGTAGCATAATATTAAAAAAACATTAAAACATAAAGAAAACATAGTGTAGATGCTCATAATGTAGATAAAACCGGAATAGTAAAGACTGCACAAAGAAAGCAGGAAAAGGTGAAACCAAATGGGAAAACAGAAGCAACCGGTGAGGAAGAGAAATGACCCTATGACGATGTGGGAGATGACACCACAGATGAACAAATCCGTGTTTTTGCTTGCCCACAGAAAAGATGTAATCAGAAACAAAAATTGATGAAGAAATATTAGCAAACTTCCTAGCCATTTCAAAAGGCAAAAGGGGCTAGGCCCTAGTACATAAGGATGTTGGCCTTTCAAGAGAACACAAACCATCCTTTGTAGCAAGAAGTGGGTCGTATGAGCTCAGATGTAGGTAGGTGGGTAGCTGTGATGGTGGGAATTTATAAAAGTTACCTCTGTTTTCCAGCTCTAAGTACAACAGAAAGTAAAATAAACTGCTGGGAGTGAGAAGCAATGGAGAAACTATTGGAAGGATGACAATGCAGAACTAGGTTGGGTACCGGAAATTTGCCTTCTATCTCATAATTATATATGATGATATTCTGCCAAGAAGTTATTGCTCCTTACACATGAAATTGCCCCAATGTGACACTTCAAACGCCCCATGAAAAAGAAGAACAAACAGCTGAGAACTCTGTTTCTGAGAAGTCTGCTTAAAAGAATGTCTGTCTTCAAATTCCTGGCTCCCTATGCAGAGCCAGCGGGAATGATCCCTTTTTGGGGCACAGTTCTTTACAGTCCTATATGTTAATGAGAATGAAGGATTTTAAAATAACCTTCCAGTAATCATCTTATCAATAAAGACTGTATACAAGGACCTCTTTCCCTAAACCACAGATTGCAGAGAAGGCCCAGATACGTAACCTGGTTGGCCTGACCTTGGGGTACTTTGTTAAGTGGTTTGGTGGGTACTAGAAATTGAATCATTTGATCATTTCATTCCCCTCAGACACATACCAGGAGCAGATCCAGACCCAGCTCAAAGCCTCCCTCACACTTGGTTCCTGGCCCCTGCCTCGCCAGCTCAGGCTGTTACGGGCTTCTGGCACAGGACCCAATGGCCAGAGCATCCTCTGCCTCCCTACCTTTCAAAAACTAAGTAAGCTTCGCTGTAAAACTTTGAAAGCACTGCAACTTGAAATAAAAGTGCTATCGACACATAATAAACCAGAGCACTTGCTTACCTATATAATTTAAATAGTTGTAAGGAATACTTTATAATAGTTTTTATACTTTATATTAGTACTAAACAATGTGTAAAAGCATGGCAATTTAAAACCGACTAGAATTTAGAATATTAATGTCTTAATAATCAAAGGTAAAGTATTATTCTTATTACAATGCAAAATGATAGATATTTCAGTAGATATTGGCATGCAAAATTCTATAAAACGTTATCCAAGGTTATTGGCAGAAAATTTTCCTCCAACAAATAAGAACATTGGCTTTTAAAGTAGGACATGAAAACGGAATAATAGCTTTTGAAGAAAACATTTTCAACCGCATGCTTTGGCTTTACTTGAAATTGATTTTTAGATGTGAAAATCACGTTTTACCAAATTAACTATAATAATGCTAATGCTGCCACACAGTGTGTGTGTGTGTGTG